TTAATAAAAAGATTGTATTTAATCCTCCCAACGAGGAGCCATTTACAAGTTAATAAAATTATTCGGTACTGATTTTCTCCAATGACAAATTCTTTTCTTCTTAATGCCCAGTGCCTTGATATTGTATTTTCCCTAACTAGGTAAACCCAAGAAAGAAGTTTGTATCCAAGAGATTCCAGTAGTCCGAGACTTTCCAGACGTATTTCCGGATGAACTACCCGGTCTACCAGGGGACAGAGAGGTCGAGTTCACCATAGACTTACAGCCAGGAACCCAGCCCATCTCGGTAGCTCCTTACCGAATGAGCCGCATCGAGATGGAAGAGCTAAGGAAACAAATCACTGAGCTACAAAACAGGGGCTTCATTAGACACAGCATTTCCCCATGGGGTGCCGGGGTTACTTTTGCAAAGAAAGGGGATGGAACGTTGAGACTGTGCATTGATTATAGAAGGATAAACAAGGTAACAATTAAGAACAAGTACCCTCTTCCCCGGATTGATGACCTTTTCAATCAGTTGCAGGGTGCACAGGTCTTTTCTAAAATAGATCTACGATCAGGTTACCATCAGGTAAAAGTGAGAGCAGAAGACATCCCCAAGACGGCATTCCGAACCAGGTACGGACACTATGAGTTCCTGGTTATGCCATTTGGGCTAACCAACGCCCCGGCCATCTTTATGGATCTAATGAACAGAATCTTCAGAGAATTCTTGGACCAATTTGTCATCGTGTTCATCGATGATATCTTAGTCTACTCAAAAAGTAGGGAAGAGCATGCTCATCATCTTGCCCAAGTCCTACAGGTACTCAGAGAAAAGAAGTTGTATGCGAAATTGAGCAATTGTGGATTTTGGCTCGAACAAACTGCCTTCCTAGGACATGTTATATCGAAGGAAGGGGTGTCGGTGAACCCCGAAAAGGTTGAAGCGGTACTTTGTTGGGAAAGACTGACAACAGTTAAGGAAATTCGCAGTTTCCTAGGGATGACAGGTTATTACCGCCGGTTTGTCGAAGGGTTCTCTAGTCTAGCAGCTCCTCTAACCCGACTCACAAAGAAGAATGCAAGGTTTGAATGGAATGAGAACTGCGAGAAGAGTTTTTCAGAGTTGAAGAAGCGACTGACTACTGCACCAGTGCTGGCTCTACCGAGTGGATCAGGAGGGTACACAGTTTATAGTGATGCCTCCTATCTGGGCCTGGGTTGTGTCCTAATGCAGCATGGAAAAGTTATAGCATATGGATCTAGACAGCTAAATAATCATGAAAAGAACTATCCTACCCATGACTTGGAGCTTGCCGCCATCATACACGCCTTGAAAACCTGGTGCCATTATTTGTATGGAGAGACCTTTCAGATCTACACCGATCATAAAAGTTTGAAGCATATCTTCACCCAGAAGGATCTCAACATGCGTCAGAGAAGGTGGATGGAACTCCTCAAGGACTATGATTGTGACATCCTATACCATCCAGGTAAGGGCAACGTGGTGGCCGATGCCCTCAGCAGGAAAGTGCAGGCACCCTAGCCCATCTGATGGTTTCGGAATGTAGGTCCATTGGGGCTACACAGCAGGTTCGCCTGCGAGACCTGAAGAGAGTCACATGTTTGGGCCACCTAGCAGTCCAACCCGAATTAATCCAAAGAATAAAGGAAGCTCAGTCAGTCGACCCCGCCCTAGTAACCCGCAAGAAGAGTGCAGAACAGGGAGTGAGCTCAGAATTTCAGATCTCCACCGACGGATTGATTCGTTTCAGGGACAGAGTGTGTGTCCCAGACGACAGTGAGTTAAAAAGAGACATCATGACAGAGTCCCATAGATCAAGGTTCGCCATGCATCCAGGAAGTACGAAAATGTACCAAACTATGCGACCTCGGTTCTGGTGGAATGGGATAAAGAGAGATATAGCTGACTTTGTATCTAAGTGCTTGGTATGTCAGCAGGTCAAAGCAGAACATCAACGCCCGGGCGGGTTACTTCAGCCTTTACCGATTCCAGAGTGGAAGTGGGAACATATCACCATGGACTTCGTATCGGGACTACCCAAGGCACGATCGGGACATGATGCTATATGGGTAATTGTTGACCGACTCACTAAGTCTTCCCACTTCCTGGCCATCAGAATGACTGATCCCTTGGACAAGTTGGCAAGAATGTATATCCGGGAGGTAGTCAGACTACATGGAGTTCCAGTAACAGTGGTATCC